TGCTGGGGAGGGGGGTCACATTTATCTGAAGGTCCCAAGATAGCCCTGAGATCTAAATAGGAAAATATCTCTTATAAACTGTAACAAAACTCTCACCTTAAAATAAAACACTCTGAAATGTATATAATTATATCCATATTCAATAGCTTTACAGTATCAAGTCTGGGTTTATAGAAATGATAAACAAAATAGCTTTACATTCAGAAAACAGGTTCTAAGACCCGTTTATACCAAAATGACAAAATTTGAAACCCCGCACCCTGTGCAAAAGTCTGTTCCATTCCTAACCTATCACAAAGACACCATTGCTTAAAAACACAGATCCTGGGACATCCAGTAAACGCCATCTGTCATCTGAGCAAAGAAAATCCCAGTAAGATTAGCTCTAACACTTCATTTGAATGAAGAATCTGATTCAAACCAAGAGTCTGAATCCACTGAGGGTTCCTGGGATTGCTGGGTACCATTCCTGGGAGTGTGGTATCATGCACTTGGTTCCCATTGAGTGTAACCATAGTTATATGGTTCCAAACCAGCTTCTAGAACTCGTAATGGATGGTCAGGTGCCTTGATCAAGGCAGAGAGATCTCACAGACCCGGCCAAAGTGGCTCTGTTCAAACTGCCTGGGTCATCTTTCAAAAAGAGACACGTTACCTGGACTCCCAGGGAGCCCTCAGGTTTATGATTCTTCTGACCAAGTGGGTCACCTAGACACTCCCTGGGAGCCACTGTCACCTTTCCAGGCAATCTGGTCTCCCTTGAGGTCATCTGTGTGTACCTGGTGTGCGTGCACGTGTGTGTGCCTGGTCACCTCTGCACACAGTCACCTATCACACACTGTGCTTGCTGGCACACAACAGGGGTGCACTTCGCACAGAAGTCTTATTGCAGACAGAGTGAGGAAACTGAGTGTGAGCACTGGCATTCAATGTCCTTGAAAATCAGTCCAATCAATGCAGGTAGTTGTTTTGTTTTGTTTTCTCCCGTTTCTTTAAATTAAAAAAAAAAATCAGAGGCATTTTTTAGCCACTTATTTAAAATCTTAATGAAGAAATGTGAACCCAAGGGCACAGAAATGACTCGCTGACTCAAGAGTTATTATATAGGTGCATAAAACAAGTTCTAAATGCGTCCAGAGGTGGGAACTTGAACAATCAGCATTTTAGGCAGAGCTAGGTTTGTTCTAAGTTCTTTGTGGCTAATGTCATCCGTTGTGACAGTTCCACGTGTCTCAATAACCGTGACTGGCTTGTTGTAAGGATCTATCGCGATCGATACTTTCTGTTTCCTATGAATCTTAATAAGAACAGGATCAATGTTCCATCCTTTCTTTCCCTAGAAGACGGAGGCCCTCCAGGTGACTGCCTGGCTCAAAGTGGGGGGCTTGTGTGCTTCTGGTGGGCAGCAAACCAAGAACGAGGCAGCAGGGTCCAGAATTCAAACAGCTACCCCCTGTGCAAGACCGAGACCCTGAGCAAACACGTGGAAGATAGGTGACTTCCCAAGTACTGTAAAGAAAAAGCACTTCATCACATAACAGACCAACTGTGCTGGGAGTGCACAGTAGTGCCTGACCACTCTGACCCGAGTGGGAAGCAAGCGTAGTGTTAACAAGGAGCCAGCCCGACCCTGTAGTACACCTGGAGACTCGCATCAGGGTGTAACCCACTCCCCAGGGCAAACTTAGGTCAAGGCAAATTACACAAAAAGGGTCTTCTGGCTTTAGGTAGTGTGGACAGGGGGAGCGTGCAGGGCACTTCCTACCCTCTCCTGCTTTGGGCTCACTCCTTTACTCTCCAGGAGCCATTTCTTCATGGAACTTGGGCGTCCTGTGGCTTCCCAACTGTCTGAGACGGTAGTCTTTCCATCAAGGGGCCTGAGATCTGGGCCCCTTCTGGGCCTCTGTCTCACCCACAGTAGCCTCTACTCCAGAGGTCTGGTTCCTGCTGACAGCTGGGAAGGAACGGACAGAGGCATCACAAATCCCATTTTCCAGCCCACGTCACAAACTCTCCTGAGCCACGGAATGAGCTGTCATCTCAGGAGTGCCCAACGTGGAGGTGGTGATGGCCTTGCAATTCTGAGGTATCTAGCGCTGCTGGGAATCTGCTAGGGTAGCCCGAGAGGCTGCACCATGATGTCCGTGATTCCCAGGATGTCCATGATGTGACGTGGGCACTTCTCTACAGCAAGCAGAGAGGAGCAGCTCCGACTCTCCCTGCTCCTTCTTGGTAGGCTGGTGCTGGGCCGACTGCGGGACGCTTAAGCACACAGCAAATGGAAAAACCGCATCAGCATCACTGTGTACCTGCAGCGTCAGACCTGGCGTAGCCAGCTCTAGAGGTAGAAGTCATGAAGGGCCCATCAGCGTTGTCAAGTAGCCACCTCTTCTCACACAGAAGCGACTTCACAGCCACCCCACAGCCAATTCCTCTGCCAGGGTCCCCCAATCTCCAGTAACCAAGGAAATCTCTGCCGAGGGGTAAGTTCCAGAAACCTCACTTAAAATCAGCAGCATTAACAATGTTTTCGAAATATTTCTTCTGTCCAGTTTAATCATAATTTACTCAAGCTCTAAAACGTATTAAAATATACTTCACCGTTCTCCTAACTATATTTATATATAAATCCCTGAGAAGATACCTGTCAACTTGAAATTCGCTATTTACAGTTAATAAACACCCTGGGTGCAAGCAGAGGCCCCAAGCCTGCGCCCTCTGTGCTGTCCCATGTCAGGAGAGCAGACCAGGCCACCCTTCCTAAAAGCGGGAGGGGTTGGGTGCTGAGGCGGGAGCCCAGCGCAGGAGTGGCGGGGTCTGCTGCTCACTCGTCCCTGGGGACTCAGAGGTCCTGACCTGACAGTGCAGCAGGGCCACCATAATGCGTCTCAGGAACCCCTGTTCTGATTTTTTTAGACTTCAGGACAGCTGGTGCCAAAGATGAGCAAGGAGTTTAACCAAACTGGGAGAAGAAAACAGGCCAAGAAAGAAAAGGAAGGGGAGCTAAAGAGAAGGTAAAGAGGACTTCAGGGAAGGAGTGTGGAAGCTGGAGGGGACACTGTGGAGGGTCCTCGCCCATCAGCACCTGATGATAAATGGAGGGCGGAGCCTCAGTGACGAGGTGCCGCTGCTCAAAGCAGTAAAAACACACACAAATGACGCCAGTTGGACTGTCAGGGAGACCAGGGGCGGTTTCTCTCCGCCTCAGGGACCAGACGATCATGTCTTCTCTGCGAATCCCATACCCAGAGAAGGTCACCCTAACAATGTTGCCTAAGAAGGGACTGGCTCACTGAGCCCCACAAGCCTCCTCAAGGTGACCCGGCTTACTCACTCTCTCGGTGGAGCTAATCACCAGCCCAGCTGCTGCCCCCACCTGCCTCCCCCACCCTTCTCGCAGTGACACTTTCAAGCCTGGGCAGAAGGGTCCCACTTGAGGATATCTGTCCTTGTGCTCCCACAGATCCCCAAATTGAGAGACTCCAAAGGCCACCTGCTGAGAAGCATCCAGACTTCTCTTCCTGACCTCCTGCACCACCTGCCCAAGCCTGGGCACAGTGTCCACTGGCTGTCCTGTAGCCCACTCCAAAGAGGCCGAGAAAACGAGAGCAAAAGCCTCCTCCTTAGAGAGAGGAAAGAGGGGAGAGACATTGTCCTTGAAGGAAAACTCTGCTGGCAAATATGCTTCCACACAGCCACAGTGACAAGTGCTGGGCACCTGGTCCAGAAGCCACCTGGACCCCACCCAAGGACACCCCAGAGAGGGCCTCCCCAGGCAGCCCACAGTGATTTGATTCTGGAGAGAGGGACTGGTGAGAGTTTGCACCAGGCTCTGCACGGACACTTCCTGCACTTGAGTCCTTTGGGCTTCACAGACAAGTTCTTCTGTCTGGGGGTACACCTCAGCTCCCCTCCTGCCAGTCAGCTCCCCCACGCATCTATCATTCTTACTTCACGAAGCCCACCAGGTCATGGCCACTCCCATGGAACAGGGAACGTGGTGGGTTCACCTTCAAGTCTGCCAAAGAAACTGCTGGGCTGACCCCAGTTTCCTGGCCTGGTAGACTTTCTAAACACATGTATCTCTGGAGCTGTCCTGTGGACACCAGCAGTCTTGCTGGCCAAGCCCCATGCTGGTCAGGTGCGTCCTGTGCAGCTGGTCAAGGCTGGAACAAACAGGAGAGGAGGCCCCAGAACAGAAACTGAAGAGATCACCTGTCACGCTGTTGACAGTCCACCCATCACTGGACTCTGACAATGGGTCGTGTGAGGTAGGGGGCCCGTGGGACCAGGAATGTGTACTGATCAGGTAGAGCAGAGACACGGCTTGACGGGGTGCGGGGCTCCATACCATTCCCAGTGCACAGGTCCCAGGGTGGTTAGAAGCAGGACTACTTGGCAATGCAGTGGCAGGCAGATGCCGGATCAGCTAACACTGGCTGTTCCAAAGATAATTTGACATTCTTACAAAGTTAGAGCCTTCTGTGGGAGCTCAGGATGGGTGTCCAGGAAGAGCAACCCCCAAGTGAGAGGAGAAGCTGCAGTTCTCAACACAAGCTGCAGTGTACTCTCCTGGGAACTCAAACACTGGGGTTCTTCTTCCCCAGACCAACACAGTGCCAGCCTCTGCAGTAGGGGTAAAGGCAGGAAATGTTGACAAACTGCCTGGTGGTCCTCAGGGCACCCAGTGTTGAAAGCCACGGATTAGAGGCCATTTGGCACTGCCTGGCTGGGCGCTCAGCTGATGAGGGAGGAGCTTGTGGCAAGCTAGGTGAAGCTGTGGATTCCATAGACATGGCATGGAGATGCCACAATGCCAGGGACCCAGAAAAGACAACCTCCAAAGATAACTGAGGTCAAGGAGATGTGGTCAAATCCAACTTCCAAGCCACAGGGGTGCTCCACAACCAACTAATATGCGTAGTTCTAAAGGTGGGTCCAGGATTCTGTGGCATTCATCTTGATGTCTTTCTGGGATTAAGGAGAAACATGCTAAAATCTGATTCTGAAACACGGTATTTTTATCTCACCAGTCTCTCCATCAGCCTGGACACAACCTTATGATCTGATAAGTGGGGAAGGGCTAGTGTGAGATCCCTGATTGCTCAACATCCCGAAGGTGCTGATGGGAAGTCACAAGGAGAACCCAGAGCCACTCACTGCCTGCATCACGAGACAGATAGCACGTATCCAGGGTTATAGTAAAGAGCTTCCAAACAGTCTATGATAGTTTTTAAATCCATGGTTCCCAGTATTTCAATTAAATATTTAAATAAAGTGCATGTGTAACAGATACTCTAAGATCCAGTAAGAATTTCTCAGTCTTTGGAGATAAAAGCATAAACAGAAAACTCCCCCTGAGAGCTCAGGGCCCAGGCAACTCACATCGGCGTCCTGCCAAAGTCCCCACATCCTGGACATCTTACACAGTTGGCATAAGGACGTGCTGAAGATCAGGGACAATCATCACAGGAGAAATAAAAGTAAACTCCACTTGAGCCTGGATGAGAGGGCTGCCCTGAAAATGCCAAATACTCCTAGAAATTTGCCCAAAACAAGCTTGCTTAAAACTCAGTTCTAGCCTCCTGTTCCTAAAAATCACCCTCCTGCCCCCTTCAGCAGTTCCATCCCTCTGGGATCCTATCTTTCGTGCATTTTTATATTTTAAGGATATACAGATTTGACTTATCTAAGAGCACGTATGACTTAATTTTGTATTTCCAGTAATCATTTGCTAAGCTCACCCCACTTATTAAAAGACAATTTTTCTCTTATTTCCAATAAAAGATTTCCTAGGCAGTTTATCCAAAGCCCCTGTTTAAAATGAGTCTAGCAAGAAATGCAGTTAATGCATTGTTTCCTAATAATTCGACAATGATTTTCATTATTATAACTGTATGAACAAGAGAGTTTTAAAATAAGACACTGAAATCTGAACTATTTCATTTGATCATTTTGCTGTAAAAGTCAATGCCTCCATCAAATAAAAACAAATATTCAGCATCAGTTAATCAAATAGGAAAATCTAGTGCCAAAGCGCACCCACAATGAGATGGAAAAGCAAAGCCAAAACCAATGGCAAAAAGAGGGAGAATCCGCTGAATTGTGTGAATTCATACAGCTCTCACAAATGTTTATTGCTAGATACAGTATTTTAAACCAGGGGTCTTCAGACTCATATATTAAAACTGCCTTAAATACAAACAGTCCCATCACCTGTAAAATGCTGCAGATTGGTAAATGATGATTAAAAGTACAAAATTATGCAAAAAAAAAAAAAAAAAAACAAAAAAAAACCCACCCTTTGATAAATTGGTTTTTAAAAATTCTTAATCGAGGTTCTCTAAAGGGAGACATTAGGTGTGTTGCCCGCTAGGTGTATTGATTGCTAGAGGAAGGAGGGTTAGGCAAATCAATACGTGCTGTTCCCAGCTCCCTCTTGGGAACACTTGACCACTTCCTGGGATCCCAGAAGGCGGCGCAGCGCTGGAGGAGCGCACTGCAGGAGCCTGGCGCACCTCTGAGCGCCCAGCCGGGGGCAGCCTCCCCTGCGCTTCTCCACCTTTTCCAAGGTCGCGCCCCCGCCCTTCTCCCGCTGGGGCTCTGCGCCCCCGCAGCGCAGCGCTGGCCCCACACAGGCCCTCCGACCCCTTCACGTCCTTTTCCTCCAGCGCGGCGCCCGCTTTTCCTTCTGCGCTTCTTCCTGGCGCTTCCTCTCGGCCTCTTCTGCCTTCTTCTTTTCTTCCTTGGCCTCCTTGTACCGCCACTTGGGGATCTGCAGGTGGGTGCTGTCCTTGGCGCTGCCCTTGCGGCCTATGCGCTCTGGCTGGAAGGTGGGCGCAGGCGCCTTGCTGATGCGGACCCTGGGGACCACCACACCCGGCCGCACACTGCTCCGGCGCAGGAGCTGCAGGGGCAGGAGGCTGGCCTTCCGCCGGGCAGAGGCTGACCCCTGGGCCCCTGGCAGGTAGGGAGACGGGGGACTGAGTCTCGGAGCCTCCTCTCCGGAGCCCCCCACCACCTCAGAAGTCCGAAATTGCTGTTCAGCGCCTTCTGCCTCGTCCCTCTCTTGGGCAAGGGTGCCCTGGTCCCCCTTAGCAGCCAGGATTTCCTGCACTGCCAGCCGCCTTTTTCCAACACAGGGAGGGTCCTCAGGGCACACAGTTTGGCAGACGATGGCCACAGCGGGACTATAAAGGCTTGTGGTCATCCTGACCATGTGGTCAAGGACGCCCCCATCCTCCAGGCCCCGGCCTGAGCGCGAGGTCAGTGCGGACCGCACGAATTCAGCGAGCCTCTGCAAGCAGTTTTTGGAGGCTGCAGGCTTCAGAACCGCCTCCGGGGTCAGCGGCAACTCTGGCCTGTACTTCTCCCCAAACTGTTCAGGGCAGGGTCGCTCCAGCAGCCTCTGCATGAGTCGGACGGCCTCCACCCTGCCTGTGTAAGCAGCCCACTCCTGGGGTGACATCCCACGGCGGCTGTCCCGGGCGTGTACATCAGCCCCTGAAAAATAAGAAGCACAAATGGGTGGCTGCAGCAGCAACTCACAGGCAAAGAATGGAACAAAGGTAAACTTTCCCAAACCTAATAACAAGCTCTATCCTAGACCACTGCCACCTGCATGTGACAGTGACCTACTGTATTTACCACTGCAACAAGAAAAGGTTTCTCATGCATCATTTGATGTTTCTCTCTTTTCTAAATAAAAAATTGTCTAAATCTAAATCATGATTTTTTTTTTTAAGAAATAAAATTCTAGCCGGGTGCAGTGGCTCCTCTCCTGAATCTCAGCAGCTCGGGAGGCTGAGGCAGGAGGATTGATTGCAAGTTCAAAGCCAGCCTCAGCAATAGCAAGGCACTAAGCAAGTCAGTGAGCCCCTGTCTCTAAATAAAATACACAATAGGGCTGGGGATGTGGCTCAGTGGTTGAGTGCCTCTGAGTTCAATCCCTGGTACCCAAAAGAAAGAAAGAAGATTTGGCACTTTAGCTCTCTGCCAAAGGAGATATGACTAGACAACAAAGATGTCTCGAGATCACTTGATGATGCAGCTGGAGTGCTCTAAATGCTAATGGTAACAGTCACTTGCAAGGCACTTGGTACCATCTCTTCTGTCCTGTTACTTGGAGAGCTTCTGTGGGTTCCGTTTTGTGGGAAATGGTGGTCCTTCACCTCTCCCACTGGGTAGTTAACCGGCTGGGGGACTGCAGCCCATATTCCTATAGACCAGACGGTGGGCTATTCCAAAACAGAGGCCATAACTTATGCATTTTTCTTCTGCAACACATCTAATCCTGGCAGGTGGGGGGCATGCCTGTAACAAAGGTTCATGACAGAATGAATGATGGTCACAGTGGCTGGGGGCCTGCCTGGGCTGCAAAGCTGGCAAGCTCCATGGAGTAGAGAGCTCCAGGGAGCGCCTTGGGTCCCCTGCACTCAGCTCTGTGTGCTAACAACCACCCAGCAGGCAGGTGTGATGGTCAGTACTCTGTGTCAGCTTGGCTACACTAGAACATCCAGTGCTTTAATCAAACACTAATCTAGGTGTGGCCTGAAGGGATCTTGTAGCTTTGGCTAATACCTTCTAATCAGTTAACTTTAAGTCAAGGAGATCAACCCCAAAGAAGTGGCTGGGCCTCATCCAATCGTTGACTGCCTTAAGAGCAAAGACTCAAATTTCCTAGAGAAGAAAAAGTTCTTGTTGCATTCATATATGAATATGCAACAGCAAATCCCATCGTTATATATAATTATAATACATCATACTACAGTGATGCAGCCACATCAATGTTTATAGCAGCTCAATTCACAATAGCTTGTCTGTGAAACCAACCTAGATGAATGGATAAAGAGACTGGTATGTATACACAATGGACTATTTCTCAGCATTAAAAAAGAATAAAATTATGGCATTTGCACGTAAATGGATAGAGCTGGAGAATATCATGCTACATAAAGTAAGCCAGTCCCATAAAACCAAAGGCAGAATGTTTTCTCGGATTAGTGGGTCCTGATCCATAATGGTGGGGGTGGGGGGCATGGGAAGAATGGAGGAACTTTGGATTGGGCAAAGAGGAGGGTGGGGGAGGGAAGGGGGCGTGGGGCAGGAAAGATGGTGGAATGAGACAGACATCATTACCCTAGATACGTGTATAATGGCACGAATGGTACAACTCTACATCGTGTACAACCTGAGAATTGAAAAGTTATGCTCCATTGTGTACAATGAATTGAAATACATTCTGCTGTCATGTATAACTAAGTAGAATAAATAAAACATAAAAAATTATAATGCACCAACAAAAAAACATGGAATAAAAGAAAAAGTTCTGCCTCTAGACTTCAGTATTATCTCCTACCTGTGGGCCTAGTCTACAAATTTTAGACTTACCAATCCCCACAACTGCATGAGCCAATTCCTTAAAATAAATCTCTTAATTTATGCACCCTATCAGTTCTGATTGTCTAGAGAATCTTTAATGATGTATCCCCAACGTCTTCCTGAATGTCTCTCCATTCTACCCACTACCCCCCCACACACACACAAACATTCCAACATTAAACTCCAAATCATCCTGGTGAACTCTGCATAAATTTCAACTTGGCAATGTAGAAATTATTACAAAGTTGCTGTTAATCTTGGTCCAAACTCAGCTCCACATACAGTTAGAAATCATTCAGGATTTCAAGTCCCATTAGTCATATCTCTACTGGCAAAGCAATGTGAAAAACTAGGGCAATTATCTAGTCTGTGAGCTCCCTGGAGACAGGCCTGGCAGAGGCAGCTTCATTTATATCCCACACAGACCCAGGTGTTGACATGCGGTGGCTGATCAATACGTGCTGAGCTGAGAGAGGCGGGGGGCGCTGCCACTTCCCTGCCCTGCCAGCCCACAGTGGCCTCAGAGCCAGGCAGACCTGGCTCACCTGAGCTCACCTGCTAATGGTCTTAATTCTGTGACACATTAAAGAATAGCCATCTTACAAGAGTGGTAATTATTTGGAACCAGAAATCAGGAGAACTCATTAGTTAGAGTACAATTTATAAACTGACTAAAATGAAAAGGGGGCAGTAAAAATGTCATTGCAGAAAATAGATGACACATTAAACCTTAATTAATTGCATGTCACTTAAAAAAGGAACAAACTGCAAAATTAAAATCTTAATGAACACTGCGTGAAAGAGACATTTTTCAAATGCTAATGGAAAACGAAAGGAACAGCTGTCCAGAGCGCAGCGTCCTTCTTCCTGTTGTTCCCCACCTTTTCAAAATGCTCAGAAAATACAAACACCCCAAAGAACAAGAGCCATTGTGACTGCCATGCAGTTCTAGGATCTGAGTGGTGCTTAATTAGGGATTCACTTCCTAAGAAACCACTGCTAAGGGTGACATTGATGGCCAGGACATAGCAGGTAAATTATGAATGACAAGCACAGTTACCCTTCAGTGTCCACAGGGGATTGCTTCCAAGACCCCCATGGACACCAAATTCCAAGGATGCTCAAGTCCCTTGTAGAAAATGGCATGATCTTTGCATATAACCCATGCACTTCCATAGACACCAAACCATTTCTAGATTACTTACAAAACCTAAGGCAAGGTAAATGCCGTGTAAACAGTTGCTAGGCTGTATTGTCTAGTGACCAGTGACAAGGTAACAGGTCTGTACCGGTTCCATACAAATGCATTTTTTAGAGATATTTTATATCTGTAGTTGCCTGAATCCATGGAACAGAACCCAGGACATGGGAAGATCAACTGTACTGATGATTAACATTTTACTTGAATACCTTTAAACGGATATAGAGAACTTCCAAAATGCTACTGTGTCCATCTTCTCCCCTGACACCACCAGCATCCTTGCCTCCTACCCAACAGTACTCAAACCTGTGGACCAAGGGTGGGCTCTTGCCAATGGGTCCACTTGCCAACTTGCTGACAGCTAAGAGTGGTCTGCACAAAATCATCTTCTATTTTATTCAAAGCAACATACTCAGTTCTAGGCAATGGATCATAATGGTCTAGCCTAAGACTGCCCAACCTCAGCATTATTGGCATTTTTGGTCATGCTTGTGGTGAGGGCTGTCCTGTGCAGTGAAGGACTTCTAACAGCATCTCTGGTGACTACTCAAGAGATATCAGTAGCACTCCACCAGTTGTGACAACCAGCAATGTATCCAGCTGTTAATGTCACCTGGGGGGCAATATCGTCCCTGACTCTGAACCGGTCTAACCTAATGACTGAAGTCTGCTTCCCATTTGTCCGGCTGCCTGTGTCCAAGCAACCTGGTGCTGGCCAGAGCCCTATGGGGTATTCACCTCCTGAGAACAGGGACAAGTGAATTTGCTGCTGTTACCACTGCCTCCTACCAGAGGTCTGGTGACTCTCTTGGAATCAAGAGGTGACAAAGCAGGAAGCTAAGGGAATTGATGAATAGGAGAAGAAAATCAGGTCCATGTTGTCTTCTCTGAACCAAGACCAGCTTTGGACAGTGACCACCAACCTTAAAACTCCTAGTGAGATATGAGGAAAAGACCTGTTTTCTCGAATCCACTCTCAAGCCAGGACTTCTGCTACTGCAGTGGAAAACATCCCAAACTAGTGCCAAAGGGGAAAAAATGCATGTTCCCGCCCTCTCAGTTCACTTTCCCCTGGGAGTCAGCCAGGCCCCCAAGGACAGTGGGCGGTGGGTGCAGTAGTCACGTTCTTTCTTCTCCACCAGCCCCCACCCTGACGGCATCCTTCCTAGGCAGCCCAGCCCAGGCCGCCCTCCTGCCACAGGAGGTGACACACCACAAGGGTGGGCCAGCCCTGCCAGCTTCCTGCTGGGCCACCTCTAGCCTGTGTCTGGGGAACCGGGTATGTAATCAGCGCAGCAAGTCAGGATTGCAGGGTCACAGGGGAGAGCCTGCCGTCCAGCCCAGTGGGACTGAGGAGCCACCTCCATGGCACGGCAGGTGGGAAAGGTGTACCCTGCCCCCATGTGGGGCCAGAATTGGAAGATAAATCCCCAGTGTCCTTGTCCCTTGGGGTATCTCCCAGATGGATTCTGCTCATCTCTCAGAGGGTCCAGCAGGAATGAGTCCCAGTCACCCACCAGCAACCTGCTCAGGAGCCCGAAGTCACCGCATTAGCATTGTCTCTTCCTAACTCACTCCCCCCACCAGCACCCTGCCAGGCTGCTTCCCCAAAGCAATCTTTGAAAAAATCTCCTTGTCCCCAAGTCCTGGTCTCAGGGTTTGATTTGGGGGTGGAGGGGTGTGGTATGAATTTCCTGAGTTAATTTTTCTCTAATAACGTGAAACAACTCCAGTGTGGCAAATTCTCAGTTCACAAAAAATTCCCATTTCCTCATAAACAGAAAGCAACGTCTTAGTATAAGTCCCTGGTTTACCAGAAGTCTAGTCAGGGCTTGCCGGAGATGAGCAGGACCGTGGAGCAAGAACACGGTGTCTTTTCTGGCTCTTCATCTTCCTTTTAATCTGTGTGCTCCCTGGAATCGTGCAAGATGCAGGCCTTTGATTTTTCCTCCTCCCGCGGCAGCAGCCTTGCTTTACACCACACAGGAGCTCTCGAAAGCAACCTGGAACTGGCAATCTCCATAAAAAAATCCTGTCCTCCATGCGGCTTCTCAGAGCCACTGATTTAAATAGACTTGTCACTCTGGGACATTAATATTCCACTGAATCAACAAGGTTCTGCTGCCTCCCTTGGGATTGTCATCAGCACAGACAACAGTATTAGGAAGCCAAACCCAAAGACCCACTGAATCAGGTTTCCAGAATCCGGTTATATTTTTTATTTAAATTAGAATTTCTGATACTTCTAACATTCTTTTGTTCTACTGCACATGCAGACCCAAGCTGATCTGTACCTGTACGTTACAGATGGTGAGAAAATCTAAACAGTTGAGGGTTTCATGCAATTTGATCATTCATCACATATAAGCTGAAATGTTTGCTATTGAAAATAAACTGCAACTCAGAAACTAAGGTGCAGAAAAACATTCAGGAAACGAAGATCACCTCCTCTGAAGAACTTAAAAAGGCATGTTTTTATATGTAGTAACAGTTGCGCACTTTACTTTTCAAATTATCACAGGATGACTGTTTTGCAGTTAACTCCTGGGTAACCTTCCTAAGCTATACATAGACTCACTCCATGTTGAAGGGTCTGTCGATCTAAAAGAAATGCTCAGGCTGTTGGGAACTTTCAATGCTTTAAGTTCTCCTGATATGGATATGTTTAAATGGAAATAAGAGACATAAAAACAGTTGAGAATTGTAATCTAACCTAGTAGTGACAATAGCAAATGACCACTCCCAACTAAAGCCTAAGGGGGCAGCTTGAATGCTCCCTGGAAAAGGTCTCATCTTTATTTTAGACAATGTGGAACCAGCTGGGAGGGAGAAACATATCTAAGAAGGAAAAGATCTTCTCTTTTTTCATCTTTTCTCACTTATTAGTTATATCAGTAGTTGCCGTTCCCGCCCCCCACCCCCCGCCCCGGCCTCCGCAGAGGATGTTTGGCAGTGCCTGGGACATTTCTGGCTGTCATGACTGGGGATACTTCAGCCATCTAGAGGGTAGAGGCCAGGGACATCACTGAACAACCTACAGTTGTCGGAACCTCCCCCCGCCCCCACCACATGAACTTATCTGGCCCCAAATCTCAAGATCATGCCAAGGTTAAGAAACCCCTGAGTTACATGCTTACTACCCTAGTAAGTTGAGGATCTCATCACAGGATATTTTTTCAAAGAGAAAAATATGCCTTGTTCTTTTATTCACTTAATGAATAACATAAACTCCCTAATAACAGTAACAACACAATCCTAAGCGACATGCTCTGATGGCAGGCATCTAGGGTGGCCCTGGCAAGAGAGAGCTCCCTCCCTCAGCGCCATCACGGCTTCCATCCCAGGGAAGAGGAAACCGCGGTCCAGAAAGGCAAGTGACTGCCGCAGGTATGGAGCTGGGTCGAAGCCTGCGCCCTGGCTTTCTGGGTCACTTACCCCCCCACCCCGCTCTGTAGCAGCACAGTGCAGAGGGAAGCCCGAGGCATGGACAGGCAGGGCCTGTGCCCACAAGGGCTCCAGACTTCACTGGGGGAGAACTCCCAGGGGGGGCAGGGAAGAGCGTCTACAGACCCGATGTCTAATCTGTAACCACAACTGGGGGGTACAGGTGACCTTAACACCCCGCCCATCGCCCCCAGCACCATCTCCCCAAGAGATGTGGAGGGCATTTCTGAGATGCTATAAATACTGCAGCAAATGCCGGAAACTTCTAAGAGACCCAAAGAAGACGAAATGACAATGATAGTGAAACTGAGCCCCTCATGTTTTCCAGGGCGATTAGAAGGCAATTGACCCCCCCCCACCAAAAGGAAAAAAAAAAGTTGGTAATTCAAATTAACTTGTTGGGAAAAATGCATTTGATGTGACTGACACTCTGTCAGTTGAAAAAGTAAATTACTAAAAATCTGCACTCAATTAAAACTCAATCCAAAAGTAATAAAAGCAGATGAAGCTTCTGCCACTCCTAAGAGCATCCCACAATCACCATTTAACTAGGAGGGACCACTTCTCACTGACACAGGACAGGCAGGGCCTAAACTCTGCTGAAACCTAGCTCTTGCTTTTCAAAACTAAAACTGCCACTGAATCAAAACCACAACCAATGGGATTAATTATGATCCTTTTATATTTCTAAGTAGATTTGCAATCTTCAAAACCTCTATCCTTGTTCTTTGAGTTTATTTGTCCTATAGCATCCTGTAAGACTCGGAGTTTAAAGCAGGAGGAAAAAAATTAAAAGTTGTAAATCCCCAAATCCCAGATGGATGGAAGAAAAACAGGCTCAGGTGGGGGTGCACCACACAATGCCGAATCATAAACAATACATGAAGACAAACTGTCACAGGCCAGAGGCAACCAGGAACACATGACAACTAGACGGGGAGCCAGCTGGGGTCCTGGGACAGAGAAGGAGCATTAACGGAGGAGACGGGATCTGGAAGACTCTGATGGCATTCCCAGGAGAACCACCATCTGAATGTTGGCCCCCCCAGACTTCATAGGTGTGGCACTCCACACCCAAGGGGATGGTATGAAGAGGTGGGGGTTTTAGGAGGTGCTTGGTCACAGGATGGGCCTCAGGAATGGGATTGGTGCCCTCATGCAAGAGGCCAGAGGGTGCCCCCAGCCCTTCCAACAGGGGAGGACATGACAAGAGGGAACAGGCCCCCACCAGACATCAGTCTGCTGGTACCTTGATCTTGGCTTCCCTGCCTCTGAACTGTGAGCAATAAACATATTGTTTATAAATCATCCCGTCTGGTATTTTGCTATAGCAGCAAGAATGGACTAAGAGAGGGAAAATGTCAGCTCTTCAGGAACTCGTAGCACTAAGCAGAATTGGCTGACCCCCGTGCCACAGCCAAAAATAAAGATAAATTAAGGCAGCAAAATGAATACGAGCAACAGCTATTGGATACTGAGTGCATTACATGTACTTAGACACATCTTCTCCCTTAATTCTCCAAATAACCCGGTGAGGTGGCACTAAAGACTATCCCTGACCCCAGTTTCAAGTCAGGAAAAGAATTAAGAGGTTCATCAGAAGGAATTTAGTTTAGTAGCTCATTAAAACTGCATAGCCCTTGAGAGTTTATAAAGTAAACTATTTCGTCCTCAGGAAGGAGGGACAGAAAGAGGTCATTACCCCCATTTTGCAGATGGGGACCCGGTGAGTGTCTTCTCCAGGCGGACAAGGACCTAAGGGACAAAGGGGGCTGCCCTGTTGATCCCAAGCTGAAGCCTGGAACTTTCCACTGACTCTGGAAACTGCCACACAACACATCATCCTGCAGCTCAACTGCCAGCGAGCAGGAGGCAGCCTGGTCCGGACCACCCCCTCCTGTACCCACTCCAACAGCATCGGACCACCCCCTCCTGTGCCCACTCCAACAGCCGTGGGCCCACCCAGGGCCAAGACCAGAATGCACATTTCTGAAGAGCAGATGTGCACAGGGTTGGGAGCAGATGTGTGGGTGGGAGGAAGCCAAGGGCAAGGGAAGGCGTCACTCCTCCCAGAGCTCAGCACTGACCTGTCAGCGGCTGGCTGTGACCCTCTCCGCAACCCTGAAGGCAACTGTCACCACCTCAACAAAGAACCCATTCTTTATGGCATCTGCCAGGCTGTTTCCATGGGGATGATCCGTCTCTTTCGGGGACGTTCTTTAAAGGAGTCAGTTATTTCCAGGGCCCACAGGTGAGAGGGACAAGAGGCACGTACCTGCGAGCATCAGGGCTCTGACGCACTCTGTCCGGCCCTGCATAGCTGCTTTCATCAGGGCGGTGAAGCCAAACACGTTCCTCCTTTCAAGGTCAAGACCAGGGAAATAGTTCAACAGGTAGTTGGTGATGGTGGCGTGCCCTGAAAGAGAACGGTGCACGTGTGGGTCTCACGAGGCCTCCAGAGGGACTGGGGTGTGTCGGGGCGTGGCGCAGGAGGAAGCCAGGCCCCGGGCAGCTTCCTGCTCTGCACGTTTTCCTCTCTGATCCCCAGGCAATCCTTCTGGAGCCCAGGAAGCAGGAGGAGGCAGGGGCCCCTGTCCTGGCCACATGGATGTCTCAGGTTCACTCAGGGCCCTTCAGCCACCCACCTGAGTGGTGCAGGGTCCCACCGTGCGGCAGAGGAAGCTGGGCAGGGACAGCAGTGTCATCACAGGCGGGCGCTGGCAGCTCCCAGCTGGAGCCGCTGGGGCAGACAGAAGCTAAGCTAGGAATGAGCCTCCGAAGCATTTCCAAGTGCTCCGGTGCTTCAGGGAGGAAAAGCTCATCGTCATAGCAAAGAGATAACACCAGCTCACGCTCACACCTCTGCTGCCACTCAGAAGAGAGTGTCTGTCCCTCCCTCCCTCCCCACCCCCCACTCACACATGATCACAAGGAGGCTGCCTCAGCCACAACCCTGAGCAGCTGAGAAGCTTCAGGAAACTCATTGGGGAGTATAGATTTCTCCCCTTTCTCATCTTGCTCCTCCAAAAACCAGATCCAATTTTCTGCTTATTGCCAGAGATACTCTCAAAAAGCCCAAGGTGCTCTCAGTCGGGGTGAATAAGGAGACCATTGTGCAAAAGGCAATAGTTCAAGCATCCACCCCTGGAAAACCCTGTCTCAAGTAGAGCTTCCTGAGACACAAGGTGGCTCCTGGGTCTGCCACCCAAGCCCAAGGCTAGCCCACCCCCTCAGTCTTTCTGTGCTGGACTCCCCTGACCACACACACACCCGACCACAGACACACCTCGATTCCCTACAGCATCCTGGGTTGGATCACTCTGGGGTGCAGCTGTCCTGGGCACTGAAGGACGGCTAGCAGCACCTGGTCTCGACCCACGAAGTGCCAGCAGCAACGAACCCCCAACTCCTGCCCCACCTGTGGCAACAAAATATGGACCCAGACACTGCCACCCGTCCCCTGGTAGGGTGGGAACGGGAGGGGGTAAATCACCTGGGTTGAGAACTACTGACCTAGAGGACCCTTCCGCACTGTCCCAGGACCAACCACACCAAGTGGGAAACAGGTCCTCTCCCAGCGCTTTTGTCCCTAGCCCTGGCTAGCCACCCCCCTCAGCTGCCTGCCCCATCCTGGCCCCTGCAGGTGATGGTGAGCATTCCCTTGGGGATGTGAGCAGTCTGCACAAGTCCCTTTTGCAGAGCCCCGGGGAGGTGCTGGGTGTGCAGCCACATCCGTCCTTACATACCAACAGCCTCCCAGGTCACTCCAACGCTGTTAGGCCCAGCTCCACGTCAGGGCCACAAGCTTGGACGTCATGGACACTTCCCTGCACTCCTCTGGTTAACTCAGCATCTCCCCCACCCCAAGGAAGCCCCCAGCCTTAGAGGAGCCAGGACCCCCAGGGTTAGACTCTCCAATTTCAGGACAGAGGCCTCCAATGGGTGGCACTGTGTGTGTGGGAGAGGAGGTGAGGCCATCATTCTCCTGAGGTGGGACAGAAATGAGACTCTGCCTGCAGACTGAGAGGGCTGAGTGACTGGAGGCTGCCAGCTGCCCCGAGAACCCTGCCTCCCTGCCGAGGCCCAGGCCTCCCCCAGGGCCCGGCGCCAGCTTCAGCATCACGAGAACAGAATACCAGAACCTGTGGATGCACTCAGTGGCTCCTGTCTTCCCCATGACAGCCACCCTGTCAACCACGGCACCTGGGCTGGAGCCCAGAGCCTCCCTCTGTGGACACAGACACACATCAAAAATGGAACATCTGAGGCTCCTGGACACGATGACCACATGCGCTGTGGGATGTCGGATGGGAACCGGGGACAGGAAAATCTGGGGAAATCCAAATAAAGAGGGGACTTTCGTTAATAACAACACATGGCCACAGGCTCAGTCCTCGGTCAACAGCGTTACACTATCGCAGATCTGAGCCACAGAGGAAACTGGGATTCACAGGAATTCTTTGTACAATTTGTAGTTTTTCTCTAAGTCTAAAGTGTTCTGAAATCTAAAATCTGTTTTTAAAAAGAAGAGAATGAGCTCAGGGCCATTCCAAAAGAATGCAAGGCAGGGACAAGGATTCCCAGCCGCTGCCTGGTGAGGATCCTATCCATCCTGTTCGCCAGCGCTACCCTGTGGCCGGAGGTCACCAGGATGCTGGGGTAGGTGCACACAGGAGGCAGAGGATGGTGGCCAGACCCGGAGGGCAGGAGGAGGGAGACAAGTAGTTGATTCAGCGTGCTTCTAACCAAGTGAGTGGATGGGCCACAGCGCAAGAGCAGGAGGAAAGCCACAGCCAACTCCGGCTCCACCCCGGCCCCAGGCTCTGGGTCCATGTAGCAATGGCGTCTCCACCCAGAGCACGTCTGAGGTGGTAGAAGTCCCTGGTACCCGAGCCTGAGGGGCCGCTTGGCCTGGCCCACTCCTGTGCTTCCTGCTTGACTACCCACCAAGCATGTGGGAAATTTTGAACTTTTTACGGTCTAAAGCCACCTGCCTCATGGCAAGCTCCTCTCCTAGGAGATGACTCACCTCCTACTTCAGAGGGAACAGAAACCACAGAAGGGAACCCCTCAGCTTTCCCCCATCATCCCACAAACTGCCCCACGTCACCAGCAGTCTCCTAGTGAACACCCAGGGGAGTGTGACAAATATTCATCAAGTGAAAAAGACGGGAAGCTTCCTTCTTCTCCCCTCGCACGCAGAAGCTCATTTATTAAAAGGTTTCTGATTATCAAGACAACACAACTAATCACTGATTCATTCAACGATTCCTGAGGCCGATTAGGGGGTAAGGATCGTGCCGTCACTAAGAACATAGTAACAAATGAAACGGGGACTCCTTGATTCCAGGAAAGCAAACAGAAAATAAAAAGACTAGAGAATTTAGGTTGCCTAAAAACCTGACTGCTGTCACTCCAGGTGCTCAAAATGTAGTTCCCCCAACGAGGCCAGTAGAGGGAACTGTCGGCTTTGGAAATACAGCATCCCACCGGCCAGAAGGAGAGCAGGACTCTCCCAGGAATTCTTCCCCAGAGCAGGGGGGGAGCAGATGGGGGAGCAGAGCTGGCTGCCTGCAGGACAGGCCGGAGACTGATGGAGGGTGGGGCTGGGCTGCCCGGCTCCCTCCTGCCTGCCCAGCTCAAAGAGGGGCGGTACCCTGCTCCCAAGGAAGGACCTCACAGGAATACAGAGGCCCACAGGAAAATGCTGGGCAGGGGCAGGAAACTCAGGATTTGCCAAGCCCTTTAGGAAGCAATTCAGAACAATCTCTGTGCATTTCTTCTCTCCCTCTGTGCCTGCTTCTGGCCTGGGAGGCTGGCCTCCTCCTGCACCTGCTGGGGTTGCTACCCCTGAAGTTTCAGACGGGCTCATCAGGAGACCGGCCTGGTCTCCCTGGCCCAGCCCCAGCTTGGAGTGGTCGCCTTCTCGGCCTGGGCCACCCTCACAGGGTCTGTCTCAACCCTGCCCTGCCACCTGGAGTGAGTTCCTTCATCAGTGCCTCCAGTCCGCTTGCCACTCACTCCGCTTCCTGCCACCTGGGCTGACACCGCAGACAGTCATGCCTGCTCACAGAACCCCAGTGCAGTCTTGATCACGTGGTTCATTCAAGACCTGCCCACCCAGTAGCTGTGGGGCACGTAAGTGAGCCTCGGTTCCTCCATTCCACACAGTATCTTCTTTTAAAACAAATACTTATTCAGCAAGTCCTTCAAGAAGAAGGGCTGTGAGGAGAGCCAGGTCCAATAAGCAAAAGCAACATGCTCCCTCCTCCTTGCCACACTTGGGTCTCAGTGGAAAGTACAGGGAGCACAGGTCACCCTCAGGAGGGTGGCTGTGAGGACCAGGAGGACACAGAAGGAGCTCCTAGCCAGACCAAGGGCAGAGGATTACAATCAGAAGCTTATCCTGGTTGTGCAAGTTACAAGTGTGTGTACACGTGTGTGAGGTCTGACTGCAGCTGGCTGCACCGTGGCTCCTGAGGACCCAAGTGCTGACTTGGAACAGAGAGTCAGGACGGGGAGAGGGGCTCTCTCTTCCACTCCCTCTTTCTCTCATATTAATTCTGCTGTGATTTTTCTTTAGTTGTCAGCACCTATTGCTACAACTTTTGGAATCATCAAGCGGATGATTATAGAATGGTGTTGGAGTAGACCACCTCCTGGTTGGAGCAGAAGAGCTCCCCTTGGTAAAAGTGGAAGCTGTGAGCAGCTCCTCATTCCCTTCCTGGTTTTCACATTAACATCATAGTCTCTGTGTTCCTCTACGGATACCTCACTTGGGGTAGTGGAGACAGGCCACCTTGGGGAAGCAGAAGGGATTATTACACCTATCTAAGTAAATCAGGGCAAAAGTCTGGCAGAGCCCTGCAGATGAGAAGCAGGGGTCGGGGAAGAGGTGGTCTTCATGGATGCCCTGAGACCCACCCTCACACTCTTCAACACCCTGGACATGTGAGACCAAGATGGGCCCTGTGCCTGGGGGGTCAGCCTTCTCCAGAGGTAACCCCAGGCAGAGGGTGGGCTGCCCCCTGCTCCCATGGCAGCCCCACCACACTTGGCTGAGAAGAAATCTGTAGTGCAGGTGTTAGGTAGTAGTGAGCAATGAGCAGGAATGCATGGCTAGGTCACAGGTGTTCTTGGAATTACTTTAGTGTCTTCTTTAAACCACTTGCAAAATGGAAAAGAAAGCAAAGGGCGGCAGTTAATTTGTAGAAAATAAACCAAAGCAAAGGAACAAATGGAAAGCACGTCAAAAGATAAGGATCAATGGGTCTATCTCTTGACAGGGTCCGCTGAGGTTGATGTGAAGCTAGGAATTACGGCTATAAGTGTCTCCATCTGTCTGGGAAGGAAGATTCCTTTAGTAGTGCAGGTGCACTAAGGTAACTCCTGACCAGCTGCTGACCCCAGTGCCCACATTAACATGGGGTTGACTTGTAGCTGAAGTCCTGCTAAATAGGACATCCACCATGACGGTTCCAGAGAGAACCAACTAAGGTCAAAACTCCACCTCCCGACGTGAAGGAGTTGAACACCTGATTGGCAAAGAGTACAGAGGTGGTCCCCAGCTCTCCTGGTCAACATCAAACAGTAAAAAATTGGGGACAGCGTCGTCTCCTTTGTTGTTCTCTGCTCAGAGACGAGTCTCGCTTTACTTTTACTTTGCTTTCATCTCCCTTTCTCTTTACTATCACTTATAATATTAAAGTTCTCTTGCTTGGCTTTTGGTGTCTGGCTTTAAATTTTCTTTCATCGGAACACAGGAACAAAGGTTTGGAGTTTCACCTCCCTCCCTGACACAGGGATGTCTTCAGGGTGGGAGCAGGACCCACCCTGTTGAGTGCTTCCTGCCATAGCCCAGGTCCTGGTCCTGGGCCGAGCCACTGCAGCCCTTCCTTCCCTAGGACACAGGCCTCCTGGGACTCAAGTCAGGGCTGGGCAAGGGCAGCCCAATGCAAGAGAAAGAAAATCTCCTGGTCAGTGTGAGGACAGTGACGTTCAGAACCAAGTGGGGCAGCCACAGGATCCGGGCAAGGTGCAAGGCAGATTCAGGGCAGGAAGGAAGAGGAGCAGGGGCCCTGTGAGCCAGGGCCTGTCCAGCGCAGAGCTCACAGCCCACGAAGCTGGCCTTGTTCCTGGAACCAAAAAGGGCAGATCCCCTTCAGGGTGGCGAGTTGAAGGGGCTCAACACTGAAGTAATCTCACCTCCGATCAAAGTTCATCAACAAAGGGACATGAAGGGAAGGAAGTGGGGATAAGAATAGGAAAGACAGTGGAATAAATCAGACATAACTCTCCTATGTTCATATATGAATATACGATCAGTGTAACTCCACGTCATGTATAACCACAGGACAGGATCCTCATTAGAACAAGTTCTACTCCACCTGGCAAAATACACTCTCCTGTCGTGTCTACTTAAAAATAATAACAACAAAAAATTTCAGCAGCAAAACTATAAAGGATGTTTGCAGGGCAATGGGGGGAGTTTGACTATCAGTCTGAGATATAATAAATAATTTCATTGAATCAATGTGGAATTTGTTGGATGTGGCAGGGATGCATTTTGCATGCTGTTGAGGAGATCCTGCTGGAGTAGGTCAGGGTGGGTGTCTGCCACTAACTCTAATGGGTCAGCAGAGAAAGCAGCAGATTGGCACAGTTGCTGGCCACTGTGGAATCTTATGGGCAGATTCTCTTACTTTTCATTCAACTGTTCTCAATTTCTCAGACCAAAGTTTTGGGCCACACGTGGTGGCACACACCTACAATCCTAGCAGCTCAGGAGAGGCTGAGGCAGGAGGATCTCAAGTTCAAAGCCAGCCTCAGTAATTTAGCAAGGCCCTAAGCAACTTAGTGAGACCTTGTCTCAAAGGAAGAAGAACAGAAAGGGCTGGGATGTGGCTCAGTGGCTCAGCACCCTGGGTTCACCCCTGGTACCAACAGGCAAACAGATACAACTGGGGGAACTACTTGCCAACTTGAGCTTTCTAAAGAAAGCACTGGGAAATGGCCACCAAACCAGGTAGTGGGGGACCTGAGGGGTTTCCCTGGACCCTGGAGTGAAAGGATGGAGACAGAATGGTGAGAGAAAACTGGAGCTGGACAGGTGACCTCATCTCCAGGTCCATGGACACCCAAGGGGGACACAAACAAAACAAGGCAGATTCGGAGCCAGAGATGGGGGCGGGGGAGTTTCCTAAAGGAAAAGCACAACTCAAACACAAAAAGGACTGAGGCGCACACAGTGGGGGTTTTGGATTCCTCTCCCAGTGTCAAGGGTGGGGTGGGAGCTCCTCCAGGTACGGCACCGTTTTACCTTTTTCACTGCTGGGACTGAAAGATCTGACCAGAACAATGTAGAGAAGGAAAGTTTAATTGAAGGCTCAGTTTCAGGGATGTTAGTCCATAGAAGGCCAGCTCCATTGCTCAGGGCTCAGCAGGGCATCATGGTGGGAGAGGATGGCAGAGGGAAGCTCACATGGTGATCAGGAGGCAGAGAGACCACTGGCCAGATAGCCCCAAGCCACGCCTTCAAGCCCACCTCCTCCGGCCACGCCCACCTCCTCCGGCCACGCCCACCTCCTCCGGCCACGCCCACCACTTCGGCTGTCACTCAGTTAATTCCATCAGGGGATTTGTCACTGGCTGGTTACGGTTCTCACAACCCAGACATTTCACCTCTGAACCTTCTTGCACTGTCTCACACGTGAGCTTTGGGGGGACCCCCACACCCAAACCATAACAGAGACGCAGAGAGCAGGCTGGGCTCCACCTCTTCCTCTGTGAGACCAAAGGAAATGAAGGAAATGAGGAAGGAAGGGAGGGAGGGAGGGGTGCGCTATTTTTCTAGATAAATCGTTACTTACATGTGAATACAAAATAAAAAAAAGTCTTAAACAGCCCCAGTGAACACTCCCGCAAATTAATCAGAAAAGGAGCCTCCTTCCCTCCCTCCAGTTCTCACACTGCTCAGGATCCTACCCCGTCCTCCGCCCTCAGGGTCCCCCATCCCAGTAAACCAGCTGTTGCCAGGAGGGACAGCGAGGACAGTGCTGTCCTCTCCACCGCCAGCCAGGCTGGCTCACTCGATGTTTCACAGCATTTCAAAGGCCCCATGGCCAGAACGAAGCCTGTATGTCTCCCACTCCCTGTTCTCTGTCCCCTCTGCAGCCAGCGCTGACCCTGTGCAGATGCCTGACCACAACGCCCGCCACTCACCCTTCTCCACTGCCCACCTCACATCCTCTGACCACAGTGCTCCAGCCACACGCTCTGGAACCTCCTGGGGCCCCATCACCACACATTAGGCCCCATGCCACTGTATTCACATCCCCTTGCACCAGACCCTGGGTGATCAGGCCCCTGCCTTCTTCAAGGGCCTCTCGCCTCTCCCAGGTAACTTCATCCTACCACCAGCCACCTGCTCTGTCCCTCAGACCAGCCATTCCTGAGATTCTCTCAGCTCCAGCTCAGCCCCAGGGCTTTGCAATCCATTGTAACAAAGGACCTGCCTCTGACTTCTAGAACACTGGACTAGAGCCACCTCTTCAGCAATCCCTGCCCTGAACATCCAGGCCAGATGGAGTGATCTTATTCCATGACACCCAGGGCACCCCTTCATCAGAGCCCCAACAGACAGCGCTGGGTTCCACGTCTATTTCTGTCCCGTGAGCTAGAAAATGACTTAAGGACAAAGCCTCCCCGTGCTGTGAGTCCTGGTCCCTGACACGGTGCCTGGCCCTCCAGAGGTTCCCGTCACCAAGCACCTCACCATGGCCTTTCACATGCTGCTCTCAAAGTTGTGACCTCGGCTTCTAGTGCTTGGAGTCCTCAATGGAGATCACACTTAGGGAAACAGGTGTTAGCACAAACCCCCGTCCTTTCTGAGTTTCAGGAGCCCTCTGCCCTGTGTCCTGAAGGACAAGAGGGGTGCACAGACCACCTCCCACTCTGCGGAATGAAACAATCGTATACTGAGTTTCCAGTTTTCCTAGGGACCCCAATCAGATCCACCCAGGCAAGCACTGACACAGAAGCCAAGGCAGCAAGAAGGGACAGGAGGTCTGTCTTTGGGGACAACAGCAGACACTTCCTTACCAAAGTCAAGGGACAGTGTGGTTTGGAGCATTTCCTCCGGCTTCTTGGCCCTGGGCCCTGTTTGTGAACTACCTCAAGTTCCTTAATACACAAACCCTTCTCTTTCTAGTTCAGTCTGAGGCAGCTGCATTACCTGCATTTGAGGTCTTGACTGATGAGGCAGATACACAGTTGTCCCTCCTCGGGGACTTCGAGGCCTACATGCCTTATAGAAACGGCATAGAATTTGCATATAACTTATACATCTGCCTGCACACTTTAAATCTCTAGATTACTGATAACACCTACTTCAACGTAAATACTACATTAAAATCATTGTTACACTGAATTGTTTAGGGAATAATAACACGAATAAAATCTGAATGTGTTCAGTACAAACTTTGTAAAATATTTTCTACCCATGATTGATGTGGAGCCTGAGGGTACAAAGGTCTGATTATTCATTGGAAGCCAATTTCTTGGAAAAGATGAGTTACAGACTTGGTCAAGACCTCAGTTAAGACTGAAGTGTTACCATGAGGGGAAAATGCGGGTTTCACATTGACCTCAAAAAGTGTCTGAACACAATCGAAGGAGGAGGCCAGGATGCACGTGGCCATGGTAATGTAAGTGCTGGCTTCTTGAGATGACAGTGAACAGGCCTGAGGACCTGTACCAACCCACACTTTCAGGGCCATCTCGCTAATTCAGCCTCACCTTGGTATGCTAATAGTCTAACAGCCCTCAGAAAGCAATTCCTGGTGTTCCTTTAAATCTGTAGGTAAAGTGCAAGGTCACTTCCAAGTGGATCTACTTTCATGTTCAGCTGCCACTAAAACATGGTGGAGTCTCTTCCTGTCTCTTCCTCTAGTGGGTTCACAGCACCAGCCATGACTTCTCGGGGAGCTGACGGGCTGTGACGTTCTGGGTGAGGGGGAGGGGAGATGGGGTCTCCGGTGCAACTGCATATCCAGAGGAGCCGGCTACATCGGGAACTGGCCTGCCCCACGCTGCATTCCCCAGGAGTGGGTCACCTCCTCATGGTCCCCAACGCACAGAGAGGAGGGGCCCACACACCCGTCAGCCCCCTCCTTGCACCTGTGAGCACAGATCGGTTTGCATCCTTCCGACACGAAGGCCACGCTGCCAGAGCAGAGCCCCAGGAGGAAGGCCAGGCCAGCTCTTACCTGCCTGCGCAGCTGTGATTAGGGCCGTGTTCCCCTCGTTGTCCTGCCAGTTGACGTCAACGTGGGGGCACTCGGCTAAGGCCACCACAGTGTCCACAAAGCCATGGTAGCAGGCGACAATAAGGCCGGTCTAGAAACGAAGAGGGGAAGCGGGTCAGAGGGGCAAAGCCTCAGCGTCCTCAACCCACCACTGACCTCCAGGCGCTGGGTAAGTGCAACAAGGACCCCCAGTCCCCAGCTCTCAGTGACACTGTGGAGCAAATCACCTGCTGGTTCACGCTCAAGGTCTTCTGATCAGATGGGAGGGAGGCATGGCGTGTGGAGAGATCAGGGAAGACTCGGCTCCACCTCAGGCCTCGGAGACGGGTAAGCGCTCGGGTGATTTAGACTGTAATACGGGGCAGGTAGGATGTGAGGACAGGGCAGGATGTGGGGCAGGGAGACTGGGGAGAAGGGGCTGTTGGACCCAGGACATGAAGGAGCCGAGGGAATGAGCCTGGGGGAGGAAGAGGGGAAACAGCCCCAGAGAGGAAACACAGAGCATCCTCAGGACCGCGCCTTCCCTGGGAGGAGTCCACAGCCAGCAGGATGGAGCAGGGTGCCGGGGGAGGAGCCCCTCAGAGCCGAGGGGAGTGGGCTGTCCACTCTGCTTCAGGTCTGGCTGCAGGGCCAGAAGCAGGCTCCAGGAGACCAGGAAGGTGGCAGTGGCCATCACCCAGCAGAGGGGCAGAGGAGAGACACGTTTGGATTCCAGACACCTTGTGAAGTTTTTCTATTAGAGTGAACATGGTTTGTGAAAGGAAGAGAAGAGCCCACGAGGACCCCAAAGTTCAGGTAAGCAACTGGGCAGATGCGGCTGCCATCAAATGAGATGGAGGAGATACTCGGAGCAGGTGCTGGGAAAGATGGCCTCGTTGACAGCCAGGAGGAGACCTGGGGAGAGGTGGACACTGTGCGGCTCTGGAGAAGAGGTCCAAACAGGATAGAGAAGCAAGCTGAAAGTTGATTCTGGAGAGCTGGTAACTAAATATCTGCCAAACCATTAGGCAAATGCAATATTAATATCTGAGACCATCAACGGAGAGTCATGGCCGATGTGCACACCATCAGCAACTTTATGGTAGAGGTGGCCTGATTTTCCCAGTGTCCTCTGTTCCTAGAAGGGTGATAGCATTTGAGCTCCTCTAGGACCTCTGCTGAACAGGTGGACAGCAAGGTCCACCCCAACAGCCTGAGACCACTGGTCTCCAGAAAGACAAGGAAACATAACCCCACAGCAGGTTGGTGAGTGAGGAGGAGAGCAGACGACAGGCTGCCATCGGGCATGGGTGATGGGACAGTGGACGACAGGCCCATCATCGTGCATGGGTGAAAGGCCAGCTTATGACAGTCCCACCATCGTGCATGGGGACAGCAGACAACAGGCCTGCCATCGTGCATGGGTGAGGGGAGAGTGTATGTCAA